GCTGGGCTGACTACTCAGCTTGGTTTTGTCTCTCAATCATACATTGCAGTATGCTGAGTTCCTTTTGTAGGTTAACCAAACAAGGGCATTAAAGTGCCAACCACATTTACCAGTGCTCACACAGATGAGGATCAGGGGATGTTGGTTTCACTGAGGCCAGGGGGTGCTGCATGGTGGCCACTAAATGCAGAGAGACATCCCAGGTTTGCCACGCTCTCCTCCACGCGAGCTCCTGAGGATGCCCTGACCAGGCAGGCCAGGACTGGAGTCAGGGGTCAGGGAGAAAGGCTCTCTGTAGAGCTGTGGCCCAGGCTTGCCGGCACGGCTGAGACTATGTGTGCATAGCAGGGCTGCCCAACAGGAAGGAGTCCTCCCTCCACCATGCAGGCAGGAAGCTAGCCACGTGCGTCACCTCTGCCTTCACTCAAGCAAAACAAGTCATTTGCTATAAAAACAGTCCTTGCTATAAAACTTAACCTATTAACAATGTTTTCCCTCATTATCTACTTTAGTGGCACGTGTGTGCGCACACACACACACACACGCACACACACACGCACACGCGCGCGCACACACACACACACACACACACACGACACGACACGTGGCCCTGTATCAGGCATTCTGCCCTTGCTCATTAAGCCAGGCTTGGTTCAGCATCAGCTAGCTTTCTACCTCTGCATCTCAGAACCACCCCTGCCCTCCTTCTCTCAAATCTCAGGGGTCCTGGCTGCCTCTGGTCCCGCCTGTGGGAGGCCTGTGTCTAGAGGGCAGTGACCTCCCATAGCCCAGAGCCTCCTCCTTGACGAGGAGCAGGGAGTTAGGTGGACATAAATGACAAAATGACACATTGCAAGGGTGAGGCCTTCTCCTTTGTATGCAGTTCTAGCAAGTTCTCTTATTAGATTTGACTTCACAACAAATTAGTGGCTGGGATGCCTTCATTCTCATCACCAGACAAGCAGCCTGCCACCCACATAGTTGGGGAGATCTATTACCCCTGCTCCAGAAATGCACAGAGCAGAATGAGAAATGCAGCCTCTGGAGCCCAGGGTTATGCGGGCAGAGCCTGGCGTGGAAACGCACAGCTGCCTTTCCGAAGGGCCCTGGCAGGCAAGAGGAGCCGAAAGAGCTGTGATGACTCAGCCTGGGGATCTGGATGGGGTCTTGGAAAAGGGACTCAGGAAACGTGAGCCGGATGAGCCACATCTGAGCATCCAGAATGAGGACCACACAGTGCCAACAGCAACACAGGACAGAGTATGCAAGAGGCTGGCCAGTTCCAGTTCCTCTGTGAACTCATAATGGGGTAAAGTTTGTTTAAAAATTAAAATGGATAGGAAGATGGGCTGTCATGAAGACTTTAAATGATTACTTGCTGACAAGTGCTGGTAGGGTTCCATTCACTGCATATCTGAAAACAGTCCCATTAGCACAACGAGGCACTATTAGTAGCTACACCCATTTCAGTTTTCTGTGTGCCAGACTCCTACCAAAAATATTTATTGATTCTCCATTTATAATTCTTATGTAAAACTGAAATGTTAGGCCAAGTTCTCCAGTCCTTAGACTTTGAAGTAGAAAGTACATTTGGCCTAGCTCTATCTATCTCTTAGCTTTCCTACTTTCTGTTCCTCTTTCCCCAAACTCACTGGACCTCACCAATTCCATGTATCATAGAAATGCAATGTTGACTAGACACAATAAAAGAGATTTTGCCATTCTCTCAGGTGGAAACGGATAAATTTAATAGCCTGAATTGATAAAGAAAAGCTTAATACAATTGAGCAAACATGTGATTTAAATATATATATTTTGGCAAACCAGGACTAGAGAGAGCTTTCCTATGCTTGATGGTTCACTGAACGCTTGTAGCAGGTGTTGTACATCCTGGCAGGTCACTGAAGCATTCCCTGCAAGTTACAATCAGAAACAAAGCAGGGCAACCTCTGGCTCATAACATTTTTGTTTGGCGATGTGCTGCGATGCTGTAAGGAAAGAAGGAAGAGGCTGGAGGCCTGAGAAGAAGGAAGCCAGGCTTCCTGTTACAGAGGGCATGAGTCTGTGTAGAACATTTCCAAGTAACTATCGATAAGAATAAATGTGATCTTTATAACATCTGGAGACGAATGGATAAACATTGATTGTATTTCTGTGTATTAGCAAAACAGAAATTGTGTGAATTAAAATAGCATGTGAATAGTCTAAATGGTTTCTGAGAGGCCCTGAATAAGGTAATGCCCCAGGTTTGTGGTCATAGAAGGCTCAGTATTCCCATCCCAGATGTCAAGGGTTCCTCTTTTTTCCCTCTTTCCTTTTTGGTAGAACTTGGTGAGTTGGTTTTAAGATTCATGCAGTAGAGCAGAGGACCTAGATGATTGTAAAGCAAGTCGGTGTCCTGTCTTGCTGACTGATACCACACAGTTACGGTGATGACCACGGTGTGATGCTAGGCACAGGGACTGCAGGCTGGCCAGAGAACTGAGATGTGGCTTGCTGGTATGTGATGAAGATCAGACTTCCTGTCAGTGTAAGGGGCATCTGATTGCTTTAATGAAATGACAAGATGCCCACTTCATAGCTCACGCACAAGTCTGCATGAAGGCATCAGGCCTGGGGTGTGTGCACGAGGTGCAGATGGGCTGAATTTGCAGGCATAAGCAGGGCAGCATCACCAGAGGAACTTCTCCCCCTCTGGTTTGGTGGAGATAGTAGCTACAGGCTCATGTAGAGCTCACCAAGGTTTATCTGCTGAGCAGTGCCTTTGGGAGTCAGGGTTCTGTCTCAGCAGCTGCTCCTGTCCTTAGCTTCCTCAAGATGTCCATAGAGTGTTCAAAGTAGCTACAGCCAGGAAGAGGGTGGGTTGGCAAGCTGCTTGGCTGGTAGTCCTTTGCTTAAGGCAGCTAGGGTACCAGCGAAGGGTTCAACAGCTGTCAATCCAAGATTTGAACTTCTCCAGCTCCCAACATCTCAAACACAAACACTGAAATCGGTGAAGGCTTAACATGAACATGAGTGATGCTGTTAATGCCTACTCCAGTGCCCCAGGGAGACTGTGTCCCTGCCTGTAGTTTCCAGGTGAGTTGAAGGTTCTGTTGCTGGGCTTGAGACAGCTAGTAAGAGTCTGGTTGGAAGCATCCCCTTGCGCACACACAAGGACTCTGGATCCAAATGTGCTGTTTGTTTACCGGCTGCTCCAGGGGTAACACACAACTCAGTGTGTGTGTGTGTGTGTCAGTTGTGGGGCTTGTACTCTGGGCTTGGGTGCTATCCCTGTGCTCTTCAGCTCAAGGCAAGTGCTCTACAGCTTGAACCACAGTGCCACTTCTGGTTTCCTGGTGGTTTATTGGAGGTAAGAGTCTCACAGACTTTCCTGCCCGGGCTGGCTTTAAACCGCTATCCTCAGATCTCAGCCTCCTGAGTAGCTAGGATGACAAGTGTGAGCCACCGACACACGGCATAGTGCATCTTATTTTAAGCTGGGGTCTCTGATCTTGAAGAGAGCCCTGCTTCTCCACCTTCTCGTCTGGCTGTGCATCTTGTCTCCCAACTCCTGAGCTGATGAAAATACCATCTGTGGACAGGCGTGGCAGGCCATGCAATGTGTTTCAACCCAGAGGCTGTAGTGGGGACAGGTGGGGAACCTACTCAAGGTAGGGGCCCCGGCACGCTTCCTGCTGGTTGAGCAGCATGAAGCTCTGGGCCCCCTTCCCCGTCCCCGCTCCTCAGCCTCAGATTTCAGTGCAGAGGCAGTTGCACTGCTCAGCACCATTGAAGTTTTACTCACCTTGGGATGTGGTGTCTGAAGAGAGAACAACCTCAAGAAGCAGTTCTGTACACCGGGCTGTCCTGTGGGCTCCTGCGAGACATGCCCAGTTTCTGTTTCTGTTTTGGAACCCTACAGTTACTAGAAAGGTGGGAGGGGGATTCCTTGTTGGGGAGGTGGTGGGCCAACAGCCGTGCTTGGTTTGCGGCCTCCCTGCCTCCTCGCACTGCGGCCGGCCTCTTCCTTGGGAAGAGCAGGGCTCCTGCCCTCAGAGTTTGAACTCATCTCCAAAGCTGAACAGGGGGTGGCTTTGTTAAGACACTGCATTTCCTTACAAGTTGTTTGTGTCATGCTTTGAAATTCCATCTGTAGAGTTATGTGGCTGCCCCAAGAAGCCACTGCCTTCTCCCCTCCATAAGTCATGCGCCACCTGCAATGCTGGTCTGTGATGCTGACACTGAGAGCCAATGTGTGATTCCTAGCTGTCTTGCCAGTGCCCTTTCTTTCCTATTTGGGAGAACACAGAAGGTCTTGGGGACTCTGAATCCAGCCTGTGCCAGACTTCTGTGGTAGGTAGGTTCTAGTCTCATCGTGGAAGCCAGTTAGAAAAGGTAGAGTAGATGGTTCCTAACTAAATAAAGTCGAAAAACTATTTCTAAAATTGTTCTGTAGTTCTTTACCGGGTGAGAACCTGGTGAGGCATTTTTGTGGTTTTTGTTGTTGTTGTTTTCAAAGTGCATCATTCTTCGATTGTTACCAGCATCATCTATTCTCTATCCTGCCCCCGCTCATGTTCATAGCTGCTTTGGACCAAGCCCTGGGCTGCATTCCTGCAGCCTTCCAGACTCTTTGTGGCTCTTCTGTTTTTATTATCTTAATGCTGTGTTCTCTACAGAAAAGCCCACTTCTGATAAACCTGAATGGTGGTAAACAGTAGTAAGCCAGAATAGCTAGCCCAGTTGCCCTTAAGCCAGGATTAGAGATCACCATATCTCAAATGGGACTGTTTTGATTATTCTACAAAGGCACTTTCATTTTTTAATAATAAAATAAATAATAAAATAATAAAATAAACTCTGATGGAATTAAAACTGTCTTCCTTTAAGAAAGGCATGAGCCGTCCTGCAGGTACCAAGTTTTCCTGTGTGTGCTGAGCTTTTCTCAGACACCAGTGTGCCACATTCTGGCTGAACTGCACTCCCTTTCTGAATCTAGTGCTTTCTCTATTCTTCAGATGGACTTTCTGGCCGAGACCAGCCACTGGAGCTGCTGAACCCTGCCCGAGTGAACCACATGCCCAGCTCGGGTAAGTACACTGTCCTCCTGTGCTTTGAGGTATAGGCTATCAGCTCAGGTAAGTACACTGTCCTCTCCTGTGCTTTGAGGTGTGGGCGCCCAGGTAAGGCGTGGTTGTCAGGTTTCTTGTGTTTGGGTGCCTTTCTTGCTGGAGTCAAAAGTGTGGCCTTCCTTTTGGAGATGAAATGGACAGTGGCAAAGGAATTCTCTAGAGGGTGTGCTTCGAGAGGAATCAGCTGCTTATTTTAGGAGTAGCGCCAGACCTTGGTCCAATGAAGACTTGTGGGAAAGAGTGCTGGGTTTGAGTGGGCGCAGCAGGGACTAGGACTTACACTGGGGTGCAGAGACCAGCCGCAAGGCAATGAGATGTCTCTGGCTCTGTAAGTCTCCCCAGGTACTAATGACTCTAAGAGACTGTCTTCTAGCACCTTTCTGTTTTTTAGCAGCAATATTGACTGTCATAAGTCTCATTATGTAAATGATATTCCTAAATATTAGATTCAAAGCACTATACTTGCCAAGTCTTTAGGCAATTCAATCCTTTTCCCTTTTAGATCTCTGTAAAACTCCTCTTTTCCTGTAGAACATTCCAGGCTTCATTCTGAGTGTAGAGCCGAGCGAAGCACTGCTTCCATCCTGTACATGCTGTGCCCTTCCATCACCCTGGCTAACGGCTTCGTCTCTGCCCTTTTGCCCCGTCAAGTTTGTCCCATTTTCCCTCCCCACCCTGTGCACTTGCCTGCTTCCTCTCAAGCAGTCTGCTTCCCAGACTGCTGCTGGCCTTGCCCTCTCCATCTCCCTTGGAAAGAAGTGGAAAGCCCAGCTGAATGTTTCAAAGACAGAGGTCTTGACCCAGTGATTCTCTGATGTCGGCTGAGGGTCATTTTTGATTGAGCTCTAGCAATGTCTTGGGGCCTGGAATCGACCTTTGCATCCCCACCCAGCAAGCAGCCAGTTGCCTCTTACCCCAGGGCATGAGCCCATGTCGGGGAACTCTTAAATACTATATGAACGTGCTCCATTAACAGATATTGGCTCGAGTAAGCTGTTCTGACTTTACTTTTTGCTAGGTTCAGTTTGCCTGTGTTGTCTGTTTACAATGAATCTTTGCGTAGCTTGGGCATCTGCAGATGGCTTCCTGGTGCTTACCAGTAGACTGAAGAGGGCTTTGCAGAGGGCTTGATGGGCTGTGAAGAGGTGGTAATCTCGACTACTCTGCAGTGAACCAGAAAAGATAGGCTTCACATTCCGTTTTTGGCATTGGTCGTGCATGCTGCTCTTTGAGACCCAATCTGCAGCCTTGTGCGAGGATGGCTGTGGCCTTCCATGGTAGCCAGAGTAGAGCTGCATCCTGGCTCTTCTGCCTTGGCTGTGCGAGTCAAGTGGGCTGTTGGATAGCTCAGGTTTGTCTTCTCCTTTCTCACTCAGAGCTGGTAATGCCTGCCTGCAGAGTTCTCACTGAGATCAAATATATGTGTCAGCTTTTTCGTAGTTCTCCGACAAATGTTGTCTCTTAATGTCACATTGACTGGTTGACTCGTACTGAAGGTGGTGTGGGATGCCGCTGTAGCCTGGCAGCTCAAGAACCAAATGTTACCCTCATTCCCTGCCTCTGGGAGGAACCACCCAGCGCGTGGTGGAGTGTCGGAAGGAGGAGGGAGGGGTGCTCCTCATTCACCTGCCTTGTAGCCAGGACTGGGTGTGCGGCACCCCTGTGGAGCCTCGCTGCAGACTTTGCCTAAGAGGACACATTTCAAATGGCACCTGGTTCATTTCCACCTAGTACAAAATGCCTCAAAGAAATACCAGTCTCAGGTTGTGAGTCCTTTGCAAACGGATAGCAAAGTTCTGTGAAGCTACATTTTTCTTGGATGGGAGCAGAAACATTTTTAGATGTCATTTTTTTATGCTAGTTGCAATCTGTTCTTGTCCATTTCCTGACAGTTGCATTTAACCTTAACTATCCCTTGACACTAGAAGGCTTGAAAATATGTATGCACACACATACATGCATACCTGTACACACAAATGCACCCTTATGCACACAACTTCATGAGGAATGACTCTTGCATTAGTCATTTGAAGAAACACACTTTTTGTGTACTTAAATAGGAGAGGAGACATACTCAGGCCTCCATTGCTGATCTGGTCTGTCCTTGACCATTCTTCATTGTGAGCAGTAGTGTACTCAAAGCAGTTTTTCCCAATAATGGTTCTTTTTAAATGTTCTTAGTCCTAGTAAATTTTCACTGGAAATAAACATCATCTGTATCACCTGTTTGTATGTCAGCTTGAGGTAAAACCTGAGCAGCAACTTTGACAAAAATATCCCTTTAAAAAAAAAGTCTGCCGGGCGTTGGTGGCTCACTCCTGTAATCCTAGCTACTCAGGAAGCTGAGATCTGAGGATCGCGGTTCAAAGCCAGCCCAGGCAGGAAAGACTGTGAGACTCCTATCTCCAATAAACCACTAGAAAATTGGAAGTGGCACTGTAGCTCAAGTGGTAGAGCACTTGCCTTGAACTGAAGAGCACAGGGACAGCGCCCAGGCCCAGAGTTCAAGCACCACGACCAACAAAAAAAGTCTGTAGTAGGGGAAAATGCTATTGGCTTTGGATTAATTCTGATTTCTTCAAATTCCCACTTATATGCGCATAAGACTTTTTTGTATTTCTGGTTTTTTTTCCTATTGTTTTGAAGTTTTAGGGCTGGTGTGTGCTTGGCTTGCCTAGGATGTGTGCTGCCACTAGATATGTGAGCCTGTGCCTGACCTTAGCCTCCCAGTGGATCATTCTTCTGCCTTGTCCTCTGACCTCAATTTCCCATGCCTCATCTCCTGCCTGGCGCTGGGCTGTGAGGTTACCTTCTAACTCAACAGGTGGCCACAGGCACTGGAGACAGCACTAGTTTTGAGGTCGTGCCACCGTCAGCCCCCATGCCCACACTAGCCCTCCAGGAGCTGTGGAGAGGCATCCCTCAGCCCTAGCAGCCCACTATTTTTTTTTTCAATAATATAAGGCAGTGTGATGCCCATACAGGGTAATAGTAACATCATACTGTTACATCTAATAGTAGCAAATGGATATGTATTGTCTGCCTTTCATGATAGAGCTGGTTTATAATTAAATTTTTACTTTAACTTAGAATGGTGTTGCGATGCTGGGGAGCCCAGGGCCTCAGCTGTCCCTCGCAAGTACTCTGCCCCAGCCCAGAGCCTTTGTGTGGATGTCTCCAGAAGTGATTGTCTCAGGTGAAATAACAGTTGGCACAGGAGACCTAACAGACATGCCTGACGTGAGAAGTTTGTCAGTGAGTGAGCTAGTAAGGGCTCAGGGAGCCCAGGGGAGGCCCAAGGGGAGGCCCAAGGCTCAAGGCCCCAGTGGAGGGGTCCAAGGCAGCAAGGGGGGCCCAGTGGCAAGGGGCCCAGGACACCCGAGGAAAGACCCAGAGAAGGGCTCAGAGCTAGAGCCACAGCCCTCTGTTCACCTCTCCATACCTTCTGAAGGGTAGGGCTCGGCACAGTTGGATGTACGTTTGATCTTCAGTATAGTTGAGGCTGCGGTCTAACTAGCCGGCTCATAGCTGGTGGTCTGTTCTGAGCTCATGGTCCGTTGCCCGTTTGACTACTCAAGACATTTTTGTGCCTCTCTTATGTTCATGTGTGCCACTTTGGGGTGTGTTTTCCCCTTTTTCTGGGGGCATGGCCTGTCCAAGCTCTGTCTTCTGTGATGATGGGCTTGTCCTGTCTTGGAAGCCCACTGTCAGCTCTTTCTTAGGAGATTTGGACTTCGGGGACCTCTGGCCAGTACTGACAACAGGGTTCCAGCACCTGCTTGGCCCCTGTAGATTCACTGGGACCCGATGCAGGGCATCGTCATCTTGGAGCATGACGCTCAGGGCATCTCACAACCTCCACTCAGCCTGCTCCTCCTCTTCCATCCTCTCCTCCTCAGAAAGGGGATTTAGAATCCGGTCTGATGTGTGCGTGAGGGAGCCTGGCACCTGTGCTCCGTGTGCAGGTACTCAGTGTCCAGCTTCGGGTCTGCCCCAGCCTTCCGTTAGGGTTCTGGAATTGCCAGTCCTGTGCCCTGAGTGCTTTGTGGCTGAAACCACCCTGTGATGCCCTTGGCCACCCGCTGGCTCCTAAGCCCACCTGCTGGTATCCAGGGAGATGGGTTCCATGTGCAGTGTCCTTGTCATTTCATCTTCTGTTTATGTTACCTGTGCCAGTGTTGTGTCTTTGTAAACAACCATCCTACCACATTAGAGAGATCTCGGGGAGCCTGTTAGCTGCACCTATCAGCTGCCTGTTCTTTACCTAACAGCTGCTCCTCACTGCTTTGTGCCCTGTGGTCTCCCTCCCGCCCCATGCTCCTGTGGACAAGCCTCATTTTTAGTTCCCAGCTATGTTCTTTCACCACTCCAGTGCCCCGTGCCAAGGGAGGAAGATAGAAGCTCCACCCACCCCCACTGGGTGGAAGTGTATTATTTGGTCTCTGCCTCTCACGTTCTGTATTGTTGCTTGGGCAGCTTGAGGTCGATGGCCCCGGCAAGGTGTGAGGTGGGCAGGCAGGCAGCTCTCGGTCTAGTTGGGTGCCCAGCCCCTGTTCCTCTTTGAGTGCTTCAAAACTGTCACAGTCACGGGGACCTCAACTGCCGATTCTCGATTTTACAGGAAGAAAATGTACAACGGTCTTAGTAATAGCCCCAAGGGCTGCGTCGATTCATAAGATGGAGAGTTATGCTGTATTCCCACAAGCATTTCAAATTATTGGAAGATTACAGGCGGTTATGGTACTGAAAGAAGGGTTTGCGTGCTGGGCTCCGGTGGCTCACACCTGTAATCCTAGCTATTCAGGAGGCTGAGATCTGAGGCTCTTGGTTCAAAGCCAGCCGGGGCAGGAAAGGCCGTGAGACTCTTACCTCCAATAAACTACTCAGAAAACTGGAAGTGGTGCTGTAGCTCAAGTGGTGGAACTCTAGCCTTGAGCTGAAGAGCTGAGGGACAGTGC